GGCATCACGCATGTCACGGCAGCATCCTATGTGTCCTGCTGGCTTCATGCCCTGACATGTGTGTCCTGTTGGCACCATCCCCCCACGCATGGTGGCATCATGCCCTGACACGTGTGTCGTAGTGGCATGGCTCCTTTGTGTGTGTTCCGGTGGCGTCATCCCCCCCTGCATGGTGGCTTCATGCCCTGACATGTGTCCTGGTGGCACACGCACGCACATGCACATATGTTCTTTGCTTGCACACACATGTGCACGTGTATAAGAACATGCACACTCCCATGCACACACATGTACATGTGCGCACACTGACACACATGTATGTTTGCACATACGCGCCCCGTTACACGCAATGCACACACATGTATGTATGCACGCACTTCGTGCGCTACGTATGTCTACACACACCCCCACGCACACACACATGTGCATACATATAGGTATGTCCATACACTCCATGCACACACAACACATACGCATGTATGTATGGACACCTTGTGAACACACACATACACACATGCACATATACGCACACACCCCTAAAGCACACACACGTCTGTACACACACACATGTGCACACACATGTAGAAGCACTCCATGCACAAGCGTATGCACACGCACATACACATACCCCCTGTGTACACATACGTGCACGCACACCCCCCACATGTGTGCAGACTCATGAAAACACATGTAGAAGCACCCCGTGCACATGCACACATACATGTGCATATACGCATGCAGGCATGTGCACATACACGCACCCCACTTAGTGTGCATGAACACGCAAGTATGCGCACACATGTAGCACACATACATGTACACATACGTGCATGAACACACGTGTAGCACCTTCCTAGGCCCCTCATACCCACCCCCCCCACGTGCTTAGCGCTGCCCATGCAACACACACGTATGTCAGCCCATGTCCCCGCCCCGTGTCATCGGTGGGGACAAAGTCCGGTGTCACGGAGCCAGCAACACGGGACGGCCCCGGCAGCATGTTCCTGCGGCTCCTCCTGGTGCTGAGCGTGTGCACCCCCCCCGGCACAGGTAGGGACATGCCTCCCATGCCACAACACGCCCCAACATGCTAAAGCACCCCCCAACACACTGAAGTCCCCCCCCAACACCCCACCACACGCCCCAGCATATCGCAGCCCATCACAACACACCCCAGTGCACAACTACATGCTCTAACATGCCCCAACATGCCTCCACATACGTGTGGCAACTGCAGGGGCCCCTCGGCAGGCTCCAGTTGCTTTGATTTGCCCTAATTGGGGGGATTCCAGCCTAAAGCTGCGCCCATGGAGGGGGGGAATGCGGGTACTGGGTGATGGGTGCTCGTGATGGGTGCAGGAGCCCGGGGGCTGGGTGCTTCTGCCCTGGTTTGGGACGTTTTGGGTTGGTTTGGGGTGTTTTCACCCTGGTTCGGGGTGGTTTCACCCTGTTTTGGGGTGGTTTCACCCTGATTTAGGCGCTTTCACCCTTTTCCTGGGTGCTTGCGCCCTCCTGTGGGCGCTTTCACCTTGTTTTGGGGTGTTTTCACCCTGTTTTGGGGTGTTTTCACCCTGTTTGGGGTGCTTTTAGCCCTGTTTTGGGGGCATTTGTCCTTTTCTGGGTGCTCTCACTATGTTTTGGGTGCTTTTGCCTGGTTTTAGGAGTGTTTTCACCCTGTTTTAGTTGCATTCACCCTTTTCCTGGATGCTTGCACAGTCCTCTGGATGCTTTCGCTTTTGCCCTGATTTGGGTGCTTTTGCCCTGATTTGAGTGCTTTCGTTCTGTTTTCGGGTGCTTTCGCCCTGGTTTTGGGTGCTTTCGCCCTGTTTTGGGGTGGTTTCGCCCTGGTTTAGGCGCATTCACCCTTTTCCTGGGCAATTGGCGCCCTCCTCTGGGCGCTTTCACTTTGCTCTGGGTGCATTCACCCTGGTTTGGGTGCTGTCACTCTGATTTGGGTGCTTTCACCCTGATTTGGGTCCTTTCACCCTGTTTATGGTCCTTTTACCCTGTTTATGGTCCTTTCACCCTGTTTTGGGTCCATTTACCTTTTCTTGGGTACTTTCTCCCCTGTTTTGGGTGCTCTGACCTGGTTTGAGTCCTTTCCCCCTGTTTCGGGTCCTTTCACCCTCCTTTGGGTCCTCTCACTTCGGTTTGTTTGTCTCACCCTGGTTTGGAAACTATTTCCCTCTTCTGGGTTCTTTCCCCCCTGTTTTGGGTCTTTCCCCCTCTTTTGTGTCCATTCACCCTCCTCCAAACACTCCCCACGATGCTCCATCCCTCCCTTCCCCTATAGCCACCCATGGGTGCTCCTCCCTGTCCCCTCTGCAGGTCTCCCACCACGCCACATGGACTCTGTGGTTGAGCTCATGGAAGTCCTCGAGTCCAGCAGCCCCAACCTGACCATACCTGAGCTGGCGAGGGCGCTGGGTGCCTGCAGCACCCCGGGGTGCCGCGCAGTGCTGGGGGAGCCACCCCATGTCCCACTAGCCCCACCAGCACTCAGCCATGAGCTATGGGTGCTCCTCACCCACCTCCTCCACCGCGATGCTGTGGTGCTGGCACCCGATGGTTCCACTGTGGCTCTTGGTCCCCTCTTTGCTGGCATCGAGGTTGGCCAAAAGAGGGGGTCAGGGTGGCCCCTCCCCACCTTCGAGCCACCCATTGACCCACTTTACGCTGTCACCATCACCGAGGCCTTGGGGACATCGTACCTCTTGGCTCATGGTGGTGATGGAGCCACGCTGGGACCCAGAGGCTGTTGGGATGATGTGGATGACCCCCAAAACTACACCCTACTGGGACCCCCGTCACCCATTCCTGATGCTGTCGCCAACGGGGCCATGGATGGGGTGCTCTTGGGTGCCCAAGTGGCCCAAGCACCCATCCCGCTCACTGACCTCCTGCGGGGTTACTATGGGATGGGCAACACCACGGAGCAAGGGAGACCCCGCAGCAGCTACCGGCGGCGAGACTTTGGGGTGCTGATGGGGCCGGAGAAGCTGGAGCAGGAGGTGGAGGCGATGCTGAGGGTGCTGCGGGTGCTGCCACCCACAAGGGAGCTCCTGGAGGACGTGGGAGCAGAGGAAGTGGTGGCCATCGCGCACCGGGCAGCGCGGGACTTCACCCAGCTCTACGTGGGTAGGGAGGTGGTGATGGGAGGTCTTTGCACCCCAGTGGAGCTTTGGTGGGACGGGGGGCCCCAATGGCACCCTGGTGGAGGTGGCACTAAGGGGAGCGAAGGGCAGAGAGATGAGTGGTCACACATGGCCTGGGATGGTGGGATACTGCTGGGTGGCCCATGGGTGGTAGGATGCTGCTGTGGCCCCTGGATGGGCATTGGTGTGTCCTCTGGATGAACATTGGTCTGTCCCCTTGATGGCCACCACCATGTCCTCTGGATGGACATTGGTGTATCCCATGGATAATGGGTCCCTGGACACTGCTTTGTTCTCTGGATGGCCACTGGTGTATCTCCTTGATAGCCAACACCATGTTCTCTGGATGGCCACCACCATGTCCTGTGGATGGACATCAATGTGCTCCCTGGGTAATGGGTCCCTGGGCACTGCTTTGTGCCCTGGATGGCCACCAGCCAAGGGACCCCCTGAGCAGATGCTCCATGTCCTTTAGATGAAGGGACCCCAGGAAGCCATTCCCATGTCTCAGGCCAAGGTGTCCCTCACTGGGCAGATGCTTCATGTCCCCAGGGAGACCCTCCATGTCCCCAGGGAGATGCTCCATGTCCCCAGGGAGATGCTCCATGACCCCAAGGAGATGCTCCATGTCCCCAAGGAGACCCTCCATGTCCCCAAGGAGATGCTCCATGTCCCCAAGGAGATGTTCCATGTCCCCAGGGAGACGTTCCATGACCCCAAGGAGATGTTCCATGTCCCCATGGAGACGGTCCATGTCCCCTTCCCTTGCAGAGTGCCCGCCCATCGTGCCCCGGTGCATGTGGGGTGCTCGTCCCTACCGGGGCACCCCCAAAGCCTTGACCTTGCCCTTGGAGTCGGTCTTCATCCACCACACGTTCATCCCCAGCGCGCCATGTCCCAGCTTCCAGGCCTGCTCCCACGCCATGCGCTCCATGCAGCGCTTCCACCAGGACACACGCGGTTGGGACGACATCGGCTACAGGTGAGACCCCACCAGCACCACCAGCACGGTCCTATCACCCATCTCCGAACACCTTATGACGCCCAATGGGTGCTTTGCAGCTTCGTGGTGGGCTCTGATGGGTACCTGTACCAAGGCCGAGGGTGGCATTGGGTTGGTGCCCACACCAAAGGCTACAACAGCAAAGGATACGGTGTGGGATACGTTGGAGACTTCTCAAGCACCTTACCTGACCCAGACACCATCGCCCTGGTGAGGGACCAGCTCCTGCCCTGTGCTGTGAGGACAGGGAGGCTCCACCATAACTACACCCTCCGTGGCCACCGGCAGATGGGTCACACCGACTGTCCTGGTAACTCTTTGTTCCGAGAGATTAAGACCTGGAGCAGATTCAAGGTGAGCACCAGCCCTGGAGGCATCTCCAGGGCTTGGAGGTTGGGGCGTGTGGTCCAGCATGAGGGTTGGGTGCAGTTTGTGATGCTGATGGTGGCTTCTTCTCTCCTCTGCAGTGAGGATCAGCACCGTGGGTCCTGGGCTGGTGGGTGCGGGTAAGGTTGGAGCATGGTCTAGATGGATGTTGGCCCAATGAGTGATGGTCTGGATGGACCCAGATCCAACAGATGTTGGTTTGATGGAAGCCAGATTGGATGGATCTTGGTCTAGATGGACACCTGTGCCATGGATGCTGGTCTGGATGGACCTTGGTCCAGATGGACACCAGTGCCATGGGTGCTGGTCTGGATGGACCTTGGTCTAGATGGACACAGTGCCATGGATGATGGTCTGGATGGACCTTGGTCCAGATGGACACCAGTGCCATGGATGCTGATCTGGATGGACCTTGGTCCAGATGGACACCAGTGCCATGGTTAGACCCTGGTCCAGATGGACACCAGTGCCATGGCTGGACCCTGGTCCAGATAGACCCTGACCTGACAGATGCCATCACAGATCAGTCCTGGTCTAGGTGGGCACCAGCCTGATGGATGCAAGCACAGATGGACCCTGGCCCAGAAGAACCCCAGCCTTGAAGTCCACCATCCCGGATGGATCCTGGCCTAGTCCCACCAGCCCAGCATACCCTTCTCATGGCCACCAACCACCATAAATCCCCCCCCCCAATAAAGTCAGTGCCAGGACATCAGCTTTGAGTGGTCCCTGGAAAGGGAAACTGAGGCACAGGTTGAGGGGTGCCCATGGGGTGATGGGAGAGGACTTAAGGACCGAGGTGCCTGGGACCTGCTGGGTGCTGGTGTGCCCCAAGCAGCACTATTACCTTGGCCACCCCCTATGACCCCTAAGGAGCCCCCCCCCTCCAGAACCCCCCTTTAAGATGGTCACCCGTGTCCCCAGCTGCACCACCCACCAGAACAGCACCCAGGAGCACCCGTTCACTCTGAAGCCTAATGATGGCATTAAAGCCACATGCACGGAGCTGGTCCCCAGGGTCTCCAGACCCCATATGAGGTGACTTGGTGGGACTCAACCTTCTCGAGGCGGCCCACGCCATAAAAAATGGTGGTGGGTCACATGGGGAAGCCACGACAGGAACTGGGTGCTGGAGGAGGCAGAGAAGAGCCAAGGTGCCGCGGGGACAGGGGGGACAACAGGGGGACAATGGGGTGATGTGGGGGGGACACATGGGAGGACGC